TTTAAAAAAATCCTTATTTTCTTTTTTCACTTCGGGGAATTGACAAATACAAAAAATATGATCAAATGTGAGTACTGTGGGATATTTAGTGATATAAATCACACTACTTTAGTATTATTTTAAGATCTAAATGTGTGAATCTGAGGTTATGATTGCAGTGACATGAACTCACAGCCATACAATTACCTAAGAAAGACTGTAAATAAGTAATGGAAAGTTTTTAGATCCTCACTTTTATTATTAATATGATAGTATCTCAAAATATTGTGATAAGATTTTACAGCCTTATCACCCAGCCCTAATGCTAAAGGCACAAATAAATGATTTTATGAGGAAGGTATGAAAATACACTGATTAAAAACCCACAGGGAACAAAGAAATAATTTTAATGGTGAATATGCATGTTTATTTGCTGTAGGTGAACATATGATACACAATGCACAATGTATTAGTTTAGAAATGAACAGATACTGTTTTTTTTAAGGCTAATTCTGATTATTTTGACGTTTCTCTAACCCAATTCCTGATCCTTTAACCAATTTTGCAGATTCTTTCGGCCAATTCTTTTTGGCAAATATTACTTTCACTGCAAAAATCTAAAAAAAAATAAGGGTATTTGTTCTTCTGAACACGCAAATAATACGATTTCCCAATGAAATAAGAGATTGTGCATTTTAAATAAGATCATGGAGTCTACTACTTTGTTCATATTCAACCTAGATTATCTTAATCTCTTGGCAACTTGCTCATCTGCTCAAATGAAGAGAAATTAGATTTTTTTGCAGTCTTCTCTGATAAAAATACCCCAATGAAAGCAAATTTTATATAAATCTCAAATGAAAATGAAAAGACATTAAAAAAACAAAAAAACAAAAAAAAACATCACCTACAGAGAGCAAATAGAGAGACCGGCATCGAGTTTCACATGATCTCAAAGCGTGGCTGCTGAATGCTCCAGTGACATTTATATAGCAGCTGATGCAAAGGCAGTTTAAACAGTGCTAATATATCGGCCAAAATATTGGCAGCCCGATGTATCCGTCCATCTCTATTAAATATCAGTTCTAGTTATAGACTTTTTGCCACAAACGTCAAAATTACCAGAAACTGCCTTAAAGCTACAGTGTGTAATTTTCAGCGACATCTACCGTCCAGACTGCAGACCTCAGAAACATG